AATAGATATTCAGCCCTAAGTTTGTTGTGGCCGAATTTCTCATAGAGTGAAAAATAGAGAGTAAAATTTTTCTCCAAAAATTCCACATCGTGCATGCGTTGGTGTTTGTGGAAATTCGAGTGTTTCAGAAACCTATTTTGTCTCACGTGTGCCCACACACACGTTTACGTGGAATCAAGGAATTGACGTGGAAGACTTTGGTATTCTAAACACAAAGCTTGGAGCAAGGACTGTTCGTGGTCAAAGAAATTCAAGTTATCATCCGAGTCGGCTTCCTGGTATTTTTCGGTTGATCCTTGAATGATGTAAATTAATGTGATTAATTTATTCGTGCATAAATTAATATAATCTATAGAGTATCTCAAAAGTTTTATGAAAATTTTTGTTATACATGATCCGCTGTTTTCCCACGCTTCCGCACCCGAATTCGATTCGGGAACCAACATTGTATACATTGGTAAATTAGCCATTGAGTTTCATAAGTTTTAAATATAGGCATATTCATACAATTTTTTTTTAATTTTAATTCCTCTCAAATCTTGGCCTATTTTTCTCAATCTCTCTTCGATAAAGTAATAAACTTGATTAAATAATAAAATCTTCTTATCCCAATTTTAGCCAATGTACTAAATTAATAATCTCGCTAAATGCATAAGATAGTACTTTTTTCGAATCCTTTAGGACCCAATGAAAATATAAATTAGTAATTAATCAAATACAAAAAAATAATAATAAATGACATACAAAACTCATCATGTTAAGGAGTTTTTTTTTTCTTTCTTATAGGCATTAATTTTTTTTAAAAAAATACATATATCTATGTATGTAATTATTAACATTTTATTTATAATATACTTAAATTAATTTTTGAGATTCTATTAACATTTATAACATACATAATAATTTTTATAATCATATATGTAAACATATTAATTTTGAGTTTAACTTCATTAACTATTTTTATTTTTATTTTTAACTCATACATAAATCTTAGTCTAAAAATAATACATGTACCAAGATGACATAAGTTATTAAAATATAAAACTCTCCTCAAATTAATAAATATTCATTTTTTGATAAATTAATAACCCCATTAAAATAATACTTTTTCTTAGTCCCGATAATAATATTTTATGGAGGTTTTACTTTTTTTTTTTGAAAGAATTTGTAACATATCGGGTTAATGTAATTTTAATTAAAATGAAAATCTAGTGATAATGCCTAAGAAGAATCACTTTACAAGTTATACATGAATACAAAAAAAATTCAAACTATTGCTTAAACAAGAATAAAACTATATAATTTCATAAATAATTAGTAATAAGAAACAACATGATCTATTTACAACCAAAAAGATAGAGAAAGTAAAGTATTAGAAGGTAGTAATTCTAAGAAAATAGGAATCTCTCAAATTTTCATGTTCAGTACAGAAATTATAACTTTTTCATTTCTAGACAAGTCTAGATTCACTTATTCCATTTCGAGATAGTCTAAAACCTACACAACATAATTATTAAAGATTTATCGCATACCAAATGCCCTTTAAATATTGTGGCCAAGTAATAATCATAATCATGGCTGATGAATAATTGCTCTAGTACTATTCCCAAGAGGATCAATCTTCTGACAACTGACAATGTTAGTCACGAACGAGTGGCAACTCGTGACGAGGTGGAAGGCGAAGAGGGAGAAGAGAATGAAGAGAAGCAAGAGGGCGATGAAGGCATCCCAGTTCCTGGAAGTCGGATGCCTCTCGCCATGATGATGATCTGCGCCGCCGTAGCCATTGACATGCTTCATTTTCTTGACTGCCTCTACTATAAAATACAACAAACAAGAAACCACGCCTAAATCAATTATCCCCTTTGTCCCATATTTGCATGTGTTTTTCATGCGCTCGTCGTAAGTCCCAGGTTTGCCTTCGTTAGTATTTATGATATTCATAATCTGATATCAAATTGTTAGGGGTAATGGTAATCAAGGCCATTACTTGAGGCAACTATGTAAGGCTCCTTATTTTTAGGAAACGCATAACTGAACCCACATAAAAATCTTAAAATGTTGGAATTGATCAATACTTTTAATTAGTCCTCAATCTGTTTCGGTAACATTTCTATGACTACATTTATTATTATTTTTAAATTTAAATGTATAATTAATAGATTTATCTTGAGAAAAATATTATATATAAAATCCAAAGTTTGTTAAAGTTTGTTTTCTAATTATATTCCAAGTTGTCACATAAATATTTTTAAATCTTGTTCAATTAATTATCCAGTTGAAAAGGAAAAAAACTAAAGAAAAAAGAATATCCCCAGATAATTATTGAACGAGTGAACATGTTACATATGCGATATTAACTTTCTAATACTTACACCTAAAAATTCCTCTTTGGCTTTTCTTAAAAAAAAAAAATCCTCTATGAACTCCAATGTTGAATGTTGATCATATTTTTTTTTTCTAAAGAGTTTTTTCTTAAGAGTCTAAAAGTAAAAGAATATTAAATTAATTTTTAATTGTTTTACATTTTCTTTTTTTTTCGTTTTTTAATTTCTTAAGTATATGCGACTAGTTATACCTTTTACCTAAACTAGTCAAAAACGCGCATAGACTCATTTAAAACAACAATTATACAAATTGCCGAGAAAAAAAGGAAGAAAAAAGAAAGGATGAAAGAAATAGGAACAAAATATTATTTTAAATAACCATAAAAAAGTATTTACAGGGATATATTTGAAAATATATAAAAATTAAAAGTTAAAAAATGTAATAGAAAAAGATAAGGGAGGTAAAAAGAAGAAATTGAAAACAAAAATAAAAGAAAAAATTTTAAAGAAAAAAAGGAAAAAAATCTAAAAAAAAGAGAGAAAAAAAGAGGAGACTGGCAACGGGGGACAATGAAATGGCCTTCTTATCAAACGGGTTCTCTCTTTTAAAAAGAAAAAAAAAATTCGTTAAAGTTCTCGCATGTACCCATAATTCTCTAGAATTGGGGGCTTAAACAACTACAATCACAAATGTCATTTTTGTAATAACTGTATTGACTTCACATCTAAGTCCGACCACTCCATATTTCATTACAATAGTGAGATTCTACAGTTCAATAATATTAGTTTAATTTGTTAGATCTTTTGGTGTGTTTGTGGTTATTAGAGTTTGAGATGAACTAGAGTTACACTTATCAAATACTAGTCAAATGGACAATAACAAATAAATTACAAAAATGGAATGAAGAAAAATTTACAAAAAAAGTGATAAGAGATATAATATGAGAATGGAAGGATCATTCTTGTATAATTATTAGATAATTTTCAAGGAGTGTTAATTTGAAAGTTGTAAAATATGAAGAATATGTTCTTAATATAAAGATCATGGAGATAACAAAAGATTGGAAAAATTAGAAGTACCACTTATGGTAAAAAATATTATTTATGTCACTCTATTAAAAAAATAAATAATTATCATTTTATTAATAAAGAAAAAATAAGAGAAATTGTAGGAAATATGCCAAGTTTTGAAAAAATAACCCATTTATCAAAGATTAGAAAATAATAGGCCATACTTAGTTTTAAGTTTTCCAATTTTACCCTTCTATGTTATAGACTATTGAGAAACAAAGGGTGTGTTTGAAATTATTTTTTAGTTCTTTTTAAAAACGTTTCTGCACATCTTTTGAGGCACAAAAATAAAAATGGTATACAAATCACGTTTGTTTAATAAAAGTTTTGAAAACGGAAACGAAAACAAAAAACAATAAGAATAATTTTTGTGAAGAAGGTAGAAAACGATTGAAAATTATTTTTCCTTTTCCGTTTTCATTTTCTAGTACTTATCAATAATATTATATTAAATAATTAATTATTAATTACTAATTATATTATACATGAATTAATAATTAGTAAATAGATTTACTTAATAACTAATGAATAAATAATAATTACGTAATTATTAATTAAATATTAATTTATTACTATTAACTTTAAAATTTTATTAATAAAATAATAAATAATATAGTAATTAATTATTTAGTTAAAGATTAATTGCCAAAAATTAATTATGTAAGATGTACAATAAAACAAGTAATAATGGGTTATTAAATAAATAATAAATAATTAATATATCAATCATATATTTTGTTAATTATAATCTATTAATTGGTAAATAAAAAATAAATAGTAATTACTCAATTAATAATTAATATTAAATTATAATTGTCAATATGTAATATACTAATCAATAATAATTAATAATTGATAATTAGTAATTAATCATAATAAAAATAATAATTATCAAAAATTGATCACTGATATATTAAATAATAGATTATTAAATAAACATTAATAATTAATTATCTAACCATATAATTATGTAACTAAAAGTTAATAATTTAAGCTGTAAATGGAATATTAATAAATTTTATATATACTAATTTTTTTTAATACACTAATTAATTACTTATAATCTAAATAATGTGAGTATATTACTAACATAATAATTATTTATAATTAATTTATAATTGCTATTTTTTTAATTATTTAACATATTAATTTATAATATATATATTTTAATTACTTATGTACTTATCTACTATTATTAATATATTAATTTTTATTTATTAAATATTTATTAATTATTAATTACTTAATATATTAATTTAAAATTATTAATTATATATACTCAAAATAAATATAAATATAATCAAATACGATTTTACTTTTTATCATACTCAAATTAATATTCTAAAAAATTACTAAATATAATTTTTGAATCAATTCTAAAATAATTTTTAAAATAATCTTATTTTTATTTTTATTTCGAAAATGAAATTATTTTAAAAATAATTTCAAATGGCCCAAAACTATTTCCTTTTTGTTTCGATCAAGCTAATAGAGTAATAAGGAAAAGAAGGAAAAAGAAAGAAGCGAAGGATGATTTACAAATTGAAACAGAACGAAGAATGGTTGATAACTTGAAACACACAAACTTAAAACAAGGATTTACAAACTCAAAAAAGCTCAAGGATTGAAACAAAAATGGATTTAAATTCTCAAATTTTCAGCAAATTTTTCTAGAGGTGGTCGAAAACGTAAGTCATCGACGGCTTGAACTCGTTGTTGCCATCGTGTTTTTGATGCCGTCGCCAGAGAAGAATGGTGAATCTCTCGGCATCGCGAGGCCAGGCGGCGACACGAGATCGCTGGTCGGGACGCGCTTAGATCTAATCGCTGGGATCGACCTCGAAACGGAGATTTACTTGCGGCCATCTCTGTCGCGAAGATCTTGAGGCGGCCGTTCACGTCGTGAGGCCTCGCAACAATTGTCGCCATCGTCGTGGCTCTGCCTCGGGCCGATGACGGTGGATCACATTCGGCTTTCTCGTCGGAGAGAGTTGAAGAGAGAAGGAAAATTAGGGGATTTGAAGACAGAGAAACAGAGAGAGGCGAAGAGTAAAAAAAAAAAAGGCGCTATCCGAATTGGACGAGGTCCTACAGTGGTTAGTGGTTGGACCCTATTCTTAATAATAAAAAAAAGAAAAAAAACAGGAAAAAATTTTCCTTAAGCTTTCTCGGATCTCTCTTTCTAGTCTCTCGCACACACAGAGTAACAGACATGACTTCAGCAGTTCATCTCCTCCAATATCTCCCGCCAATATCTTCCACCATGACTCCGAAACAGAGGCTGAAGCCTTCAAAACCAGCTCATAATACAAAACTAGAATCGCGAAGAGCTTGTTCATCTCCTTGTTTAACAGCTTCCTCTTCAACAACAAGTGGAAGAAGAAAAGGCCCAGATGACTACCACGCCACTCTCAAAGCTCTCAACTCTAAAGGCCGCTTTCCACGAAAATCTCTCGGCCAGGTTAACCCCATACTCTCATTCTGTTTGTTTCCCGAGAAAAAAAGTTACAACCTCGGTAACTGAGTTTCTTTCTGCTCGTGCGTGTTTTGTCACTCCTGTGAGAACTCAAATTCCTGAAAATTGGCCCTTGTTATTGTTCCTGGAAGTGGGTTTGTTTGAATTTGGGTTATAAATTGCTAAAGTTGGTTGGGACATTTCGTCAAGCAGTTAGTGGACGTTATCTGAAGAAGGCTCTGTTTTTTTTTTTTTTCTCTTACCGTTTTCATGGGTTGCAGCACTACATGTTGAACTCTGAGATTAACGAGCAGCTATCAAGTGCGGCTGATGTTGGAGATGGTGATGTGGTGCTAGAAATTGGGCCAGGAACTGGCTCTTTGACTAACGTTCTTTTTAGTGCTGGTGCTTATGTTATCGCAATTGAAAAGGTTAGTCATATAGCTCATGAGTCTTAAATTATGAACTGCATATGTACATTGAAGTCTTATTCTGGTTTGCCTTTGTGGCGAGGCCAACAAGTCTTTCAGTGGGCGCACTATTGGAAAAAAAAAAGAGATAATTTTTTTATTTAATGTGAATGCACTTATATATTTAATTAAATTAGTGAGTGGAGGCAAAATTATAATCTTTCTTACTAAGTGGGGTGCAGCTGAAATTTTAGGACAATTTTATTGGTAAAAATCTAAATTTTAAAATCTGAGTAGGGCACTTGACCCCACTCATTAGTATTTGGTTCCGCAGACTAATTCACCTAGTAAATCATGTTGTCACCACCTGTTTCCTAACATTTGAAATACTCCCAATTGGAGATATTTTGATTTGCATTATCTGGATGAGATTGCAGACTTATTTGACGCATTTTGTGATCTTTAGGATCCGCACATGGCTGCACTTGTGAGTGAAAGATTTGCAGACACAGACCGTTTGAAGGTAAGTCATATTTTGATAATAAAACTCAGTTTAAGGGATAAATTTAGCACCTTTTTATCTAGATTCATTTCCAGTATTAACAAATTAATCTCTCTCGTTGAAGCTGCGAATATGGTTTTTCAAAATGACATAGATCGCACTTCAAGGACTAAATTATAACCTTGCCACCTAGCACAACTAAGGAATGAGCTCCAAATATTAACAGTCCACTTGGGCTTTTTTCATGGGACCTCACCCAACCTTTCGCGATTTACAATTTGGTCCTTAAATTTTTCTTTTCGCAATTGGCTCCTTAACGTTTGAAATCTTTTGCAATTTTGATCCAATTAAAAACGGCCCTTAAATATTGTATGGATTTAATCACGTGACTTTTTTTAAGGCATTAGATGGTCATTTCAAAAGAAACAAACCCTTTTCAGGAAAAAAAATCGCTGAATTTGATCCAGAAGAACGAGAAGATTGAGACCTAGGAACACAAGATTTGATTCGACTGAATTTGGGTTCCTCCATTGAAGAAAACAAAGCATGACTTTCAATATTGAGCATGACTGAATTTTCAATTTTAGGCTTTTTCAGATTTTGGTTTTGATTGAATCTGATATCTCTAATTCATGGTTTCTTATATCTGAATTCCAATTGGACCCGAATTGCAACGGATTTCAAATGTTAAGGAGCCGATTATAAAACAAAAAAAAAAGTTTAAGGACCAAATTGTAAATCGCGAAAAGTTGAGGGAGTCCCATGCAAAAAAGCCTAACACTTTTTTGCAATGCTGGTTAGCTTTGTTGTCATTAGGGGTGGCAATTCGTGTCACGTGTCGTGTTTTGATCGTTTTTTTAAAATTTGCAGTCAACCCGAACACGACCCGTGACAAAATTTTTTAAAAACCGCAACACGAACACGTGTCCACTTTACGAGTTGACACGACACGACCCGAAAATAACCCGTGACACGAAATTGACCCGTGAATCCGAAATTGACACGAAAATTGTATACTTTTATATTGTGTTTTATATATTAGAAATAACTTAAAATTCATAACACACTAAATTACAATAACATCCATTGAAATTAAGCAAATAATAGTATAAGATTTTGAGTATAACTATCATAATATCACAAGTTCATAATAAAATTTAAAATATGTAATGAAAATATATGCATTTTTTAGTTTTTTACGAGTTTCGTGTCGTGTTCGGGTTAGGCGGGTCCAATCCGAAATTGACCCGTATTTTTCGTGTCAATTTCAGGTCGACCCAATTCTGACCCGAACTTCTTTTTTCTCAACCCTAACCTGCAAAATTCGTGTTGTTTTCGAGTCGTATCGTCGTGTCATGACCCATATTGCCGGCCCTAGTTGTCATGTATTGATATACAACAACTAACTTTCATAAATCTCACTGAAGAAAATTCACTTAATTTTTGATATTTGTATATATTTTTTCTCTTTCGTATTGCCGTTTTACTTCAGCTTATTTTCGTTAATTATGCACTTTAATTTCCAATCATGTTCATGTAAGTTCTTTAATTTTAATCGGCATCTTATATCTTTTGGAAACTCCACATAAGGAAGATCAAAAGTTTGATGGTTTCGTGAAACTTGTAGGTCCTAAATGAAGACTTTCTCAAATGTCATATTCGCTCACATGTACTATCAGTATTGGAAAGTAATAAGTCATCCGATTTGAATTCAGGATATGCAAAGGTGAGAGAACTCTGCTCCATCTGAATATGCTGCAATTATTTATTCTCTACGTAAAATTTCTTTTGTATAACTATTATCATTTTGCTTTGGGCATAGTTTTCTAAGTTGGTTTTCTTTTTCCTCTCCTTTTCTAAAGGCATCACTGAGCAGTTTAGTTTATATGCTTCAATGCTTGTTATTGTATCATTAACTTTTGGATTATTTTCATTTATGCCTCTAAATTGTACAACCGTTCCCACTTTGCCCCCAAATCTTTGAAAGGTCATGCTTGACAACTCCACACTTTGAATTATTCTCACTTAACCTGTTTTGTTAGGATTTCAGTTAAAAACAAACGGAATATACCCAATTAGAGAGGCTAAGATGAGATTTCATAGTAATCCTACCATAAAGAACCCTTAATCCCTATTTAACAAGGAAAAAACTAGAAACTTTAACCAAAAAAATGAATGCTTTGTGCCCGATGTTCTGGAGCTTTAGAGTCGGATTCTATAAGTGTTAAAATTCTTCTACTCTAAAGAGATGAATATCAAAATTTCATAACCCTCTCTATAGCCTAGGTGGTTGGGTGTGCAACATCCTTCCCCTAGGTCAGAGGTTCAAGGGTTGTAGAGAGAGAGGAAAAGAAACAAATGAACTATTTCAAAATACCTTCTTTTTAAAAAAAATGAAATATCAAAATTTTCCCTTAAAAATCTTTTATTCGTACTATTTATTTTTAACAGAAATTCTAACAGAGGGGTTAAGTAAGAGTGGGAATGATGTAAAGTTTAGGGAGCACAAGTTAGAATAAAATTTGGCTTTTAATCTTGTTAGTAAACGTGACCTGTAAGAAACTTTGGCTGCCAAGTTACCTCATTGGCTATCCAAAATGTTCTTCTAGAGCATATTTAGAATCTGAAGTCTTTGAATTTGGGACGAAAGAGGCCTTTGAATTAAATAAATGCATATAGACAAAATGAGGAGGAATTGATCCCTTTACCCGTCTTTGAAAGTCTGGAGGTGAAGAGTTTTCTCACCTTGGAATCTTATAGTGTAGGTATATAATGGCCTCCTATAAAGATGCTATACTTTTCAATAAATTTGCTGATAGAGAAAAAAAAAATAGTAACAATAACATTGTGTTCTTTTAGTACTGCTTACGTGTGTTTCCATCTTGCAGGTGGTCGCAAATATACCATTTAACATAAGCACGGACATAGTTAAACAACTTCTTCCAATGGGTGACATTATTTCAGAAGTAGTTCTCTTACTTCAGGTTGGCAATTTTCCTCTAGCGTTCATATATAGGTGTTGGAATATTTGCTTATTTTGAATTTAAGGAAAAACGTGTACAACTGTACAATTGTAGATTATGGGAGATTTTGGGTAGTTTCCAGATTGATATAGGAATGCCTGATTTGTAGGGGTTTGATTAGGCAGCTTCTAGAATATTTTATTTTTAATTTTCTGATTTTGTGTACAGGGATAAATATACCCTAACATGTAACGTTTTTATTCAATCAATAGAATTCCTCTTTTGCCTTAATGGTATTAGAGCGACGACTCTAGGAATTCTAACTTTTTCCTGCCTTCATAGCCATTGGTGTTTCAATTTTCTGGTTCACTTATCAGGCCTTAATTGCCGTTTCATCTCTCACTGATCTTTCCGCTCTTGTTTCTTGGTCTCATAATTCTTGAACCAAAATCAACATGTCTGAAGAATCCGTGCAGAAAGAATGGTTCAAAAACTTCTTATTCATCACTGAAATTTATAGGCTATAAATAGCCGAATACATGCAGAAAGAAAACAGGAAAGAAAAATAAAAAACAGGAAAGAATAAAATACATCTAACTTTCCTAATTCTAACTTTCCTAACTCACAATCTTAGACTAATCTACACAAATGAAAGAAGGAAACAAATCTGCCTATTTACATCAAACATAAATTGGAAAGTTGACTAATCTTATGAGAATATTCTGTGTATTTCAACACTCCTCCTCAAGCTGGATGGAGAATATCTTCCATATACAGCTTGCTAATTAGTCTATCAAATTGTTTCTTGTGAAATCCCTTTGTGAGAACATCAGCAACTTGATCAGCCGTGGGAATGTATGTCATGCAAATCTGTCCACTGTCAAGTTTCTCTTTTATAAAAATGTCTATCCACTTCTACATGCTTTGTTCTATCATGTAGAATTGGATTGTGTGCAATAGAAATTGCAGCTTTATTGTCGCAATATACTTTCTTAGGTGAGACCTCTGCCAGTTTCAAATCCGCCAGTAGTCTTTTAATCCATATTACTTCACCAATTCCATGCGCAAGGGACCTAAACTCGACTTCAGCACTACTTCTCGTAACAACATTCTGTTTCTTACTTCGCCAAGTAACTAGGTTCCCACCAACAAAGGTACAGTAGCCCGATGTTGATCTTCTATCAGTTGAACTTCCAGCCCAGTCAGCATCTATGTAGACCTCAATTTGCAAGTGTCCCTGCCTTTTAAATAACAATCCTTTCCCAGGAGTTCCCTTTAAGTACCTTAGGATTCGATACACGGCATCAAAGTGTTCTTTCCCAGGTGAATGCATAAACTGGCTTACCAAACTTACTGCAAATGCAATATCTGGGCATGTATGAACCAAATATATCAATCTTCCAACGAGTCTCTGATATTGCTCCCTGTTCACCATATCTTCTTCTTTGGCCCGTTGTAACTTTAAGTTTGGTTCAAGGGGTGTCTCGGCTGCTTTGCAACCTAGCATGCATGTTTCACTAAGTCAAGTATATTTGCGTTGGTTGACGAATATACCTTCCTTAGACCTAGCAAACTCCATTACAAGGAAATACTTCACCGTCCCTAAGTCTTTGATTTCAAACTCAGCTGCAAGTTTCTTCTTCAAGGTTCCCAACTCTGCATCATCATTTCCTGTTAGGATTCATAAACAATTAGAATAGCAATCTTATTGCCAGCCGAGTGTTTATAGAACATAGTATGATCCGCTTGACTCTGGGAGTAGCCATAACTCCTTACAGCTTGTCCAAAACATTCAAACCACGCTCTAGGGGATTGTTTAAGTCCATACAAAGACTTCTTCAACTTACATACTTTATTATTCCCGAATTCTTCTTCAAAACTAGGCGGTAGGCTCATGAACACCTCTTCTTCTAAGTCTCCATTTAAGAATGCATTTTTAACATCCAACTGATATAATGGCCAGTAATTATTCATAGCTAGGGACTGTAAAACCCGGATAGAGTTTATCTTTGCAGCTGGAGCAAATGTCTCCTGATAATCTATTCTATATAGGTTTGTGTAAACCCCTTCGCCACTAGTCTTGCCTTATATCTTTCTACGCTGCCATTAGCCTTACATTTTACTGTAAATACCCACTTACACCCCACAGCCTTCTTATCACTTGTCAAATCAACAATCTCCCAAGTGTCATTCTTTTTGAGCGCATTCATTTCCTCCATGACGACTAATCTCCAATTATGATCATCTAATGCTTCCTGGATATTTCTAGGAACAAACAGGTAAGAGATTTTGGAAAGAAATGCTCTATGATTATAAGAAAGTCTGTGATAGGATAAATATTTTGCAATGGGGTGATTAGTACAAGTTCAGACTCCTTTCCTAATGGCAATAGGAATACTAAGATCTGACAACTCATTTGATGGTACAGAGGAATTTGAAGGAATAGGAGATGAATTTGAAGGAAGAGGAATAGAATTACCTGAAGAATCTCTTGGACCATCACTCAGGTCTGGTTGGTCTGATGCTGGAGCAGATTGGTCTTTATTACTTAAAGAGTTTTTCTCCTAGTATAAACCACAAGCTCAGGAGGATTTTGATTCTGTAGTATTTCTCCTTCTGCATGTTCATTGTTTATGCTTAGGGATGATAGAATAGGATTTTCTTTATTTCCAAGATCCTGAACAAGTTTTTCCTGACTAGTGGTTTCAGAGGGCAAAATGATTGATTCAGAAATTATATTCGGTAATGGAGTAAAAGTATTCCAAAAATCAGTTTCTTCTCTCTCTCTCTCCCCCTGAAGATAATTTCTACTAAAGTAGGGTCGATCTTCCACAAAAGAAACGTCCATACACATTTTTCAGCCCTTGGATCAAATTTTGACTGAGTTTTGTGGGGTATGTGAACATAAACTGTACAGCCAACGACCTTTATTGGTAAATCCGAATGTATCCTACATTCTGGAAAAATACGTTTAAAGCATTCTAAAGGTGTAATATATTTTAAGACTCGGGTAGGCATTCTATTTATTAGATATGATGCGGTTAGAACCGCCTCTCCTCACAAATATTTTGGGACATGCATAGTGAACATCATGGCATGGGCAACCTCAAGTAAATGTTTATTATTTCTTTCGGCAATCCCATTTTGTTTAGGAGTATCTACACACGTAGATTGATGGTGAATCCCTTTTTCCTTTAAAAAATTTTCCACATATTCATTGTAGTATTCAGTTCCATTATCAGTTCTTAGGATGCTTATTTTGGTTTGAAATTGATTTTCAATCATATTGTAAAATTCCTTAAACAATTTTCCTACCTCAAATTTTTCATTCATCAAATATATCCAGCATAATCGTGTATGATCATCTATAAATGTCACAAACTATTTTTTTCATGATAAAGTTTTTACCTTTGAAGGTCCCCATACATCACTATGCACAAGATAAAATGGTTTAAAAGGTTGATAAGGCTTAGTAACATAAGCGGACCTATGACTTTTAGACAAATAACAACTTTCACAATAGAGAGATGAACAATTCAATTTTTTGAATAATTGAGGAAATAAATGTTTAAGATATGGAAAACTAGGATGTCCTAGTCTATAATGCCAAAGCATAATTTGTTCATAAACAGAATTTGAACTAATAGTACTAAGACCTTGAGCCTTTTTTATTACTGGAGAATTCTTTGTTAGGAACCCGAAAATCTGAGCTTCATTAACAATACTAAAAATGGAAAATTACAGGATAAATGGGTGGTTTCGAGGCCCCCCGACCTCCAAAATAGTGCACAGCACTAGACACTTTACAAATCTGATCATTCCCCCTCATTAGCCACTAGACCCTTATTTATACTACTAAAAGACTACTAAAAAACAACTACTAACTATCAGGTTCCTAACATACCCCCGCACCAAAGAATCACCTTGTCCTCCAAGTGAAAATTAAGAAATAAAATTGAAAAATAAACCTAAATTATTAAGAACAAAAGGCTTTGTTAGTTCATTGATTTGAGTCCCCAAATTGATGTTGTCCTTGTAAGTCATGTCTTCAAATTAGAGCCAATCAGTTACTTTCTTCTCCATCTTCTTTGTATCTTGGAAAGCAACCACAAAGTCCACCAATTCAGTTGGAGCCCCCTGATCAAGCTTATCAATGACCATAAAAGCTTTTGACAAATCCGTCATTAACAAATAAGTTTCTTTCTCAGCTAACTAGGTCTTCATCCGTTCAGTCTCTCTGTCACCAATTTCTTCATACCCAGCCACAGACTTACTATACCCAGTCCTAAATGTGTTGGAATTTTGAGGCTCAACCACCATTGCACCAGAATTAGGCTAATTAACACTGTAATTACGAGGCCCAACCCCAAAATTACCTCTGCCCATACCGAAAACACTAGAGCCAGCCCACTTCCGAACATAATTTCGGGATTCAGCCCCAAAATCGCCGGATTTCGTGTCGGAATTCCACGTCCTGGCCATCATCTCGCCGGAGCTAGCCCTAATGGCGTCAAAATCACAAAACCCAGCCTTAAGGGCGTCAGAATTCATGGGTCCCACTCCAATTCTGCCAGAATCTGCCTCCGTAACACCGAAACTAGCCCATTTCACACCGGAATTGCGAGGCCCGGTCCAAACCGGTCTGGAATCAACCCCAACCGCGACCGAATCATATGGCTGGGTTCCTTGTTCTGAGGGTACCCATGCCGTCCCAGCCTCGGAGCAAGCCTCTCCTCCTCTAACTCCGGCTCCCACTCCACTCCCCGTCGCCGACCAAGCTCCGCCGTCCCTCCCAGTGAACCCTGGCCACCTTCCGCCCTCATTCTGCCGTTGACTGGCTCATCTCGCCACCGACCTAGGCCTCCCGCCCTCGGATCTCGCCGGCAGTCGCGCGCCTCTAAGAGATCTAAGTCTCTCCAGTGCCCGATCTCTCACTCGCGACCTCAGCCTTCGCGCATCGGCGCTTCCCGACGAAGATCGGCCTGAATTTGTACCTCTACTCCGCCTGGGTCATCGCGATC